GGTGGGCTGCCKAAGTGGATTGAGTGAACCAGGAACAGTCCCGTGTGGGTGCAGGTGGGCAACACAATAATGCACAAGGCCTAGAATACAATTTTGCTGATAACCAGGTTSCAAACACTCAGAATGGTGATCTCCACTAAGGCTAATTTTAGAACACTAGTCAGGTGAGTACGCCACTCAACACACCTGCGCATACAAACTCTGTTAGCATTAGTAACTATTTTAGTTGCAATCACAGTATGCGGTTTAGCTGCAATTTAGGAAAAACAACATCAAATTCCACCCAGGACCATAAAACATTGCAATACAGCACTTGTAACAGTGACTCAGGTTAAAGCCATCATACCCACATGGAAGCAGTATTTCTTATCACTTTTCAAGCTGCAATACAGGCTAACAGATTTGAGTGACGGAACAAGCTGAGTTTGACTGGAAAAAAGTGCAACAATGGCCTGAAGTTCTGCTCCAATCATTTTTTTTGGAGGTAAAAGACCAGCACAGGACCACTCTGATCCTATCCCTGCATTACTCATACAGGGRTAGACAAGGAAATTTTTCAGGTTGTCCAGCGGACAAACAGTTGACAAAACCTGGTTGTCCGCAAAACATTTTGGTTGTCCAAAGGAATCTCAAGAAAAATGTAATTTAACAACATGTTAATAAAGGTCTTTTTTTCTTGGTTGTCCACCGGACAACCAGGAGACAGGATCTGGTTGTCCGAAATGAAAATAGGTTGTCTCGGACAACCTAAACAATGGTTATGTCTACCCCTGTCATAGCATCAATGCTAGCCTCATACAGAGTTCTACCGCAGTCAGTCATACATACAGTATGGCGATAATACTTCAATMAAATTTAAACAATCACTGTTTAATTTCTTTGAACAATGTAGAAGCAGTGGCTTGAGTGATTAAAAATTAACACACACACACGTTAGCTCTTCTATCCTCATAGGGACCTTGCATTGACTTCCATTCATTTACCGCCTAACCCTGACCYCTTACCCTAAACCTAACCTCACTAAACCTAGCCTAAACTCGATTCACACGTTAGTCCCAAAYCAAACCCCTGACCTACCACTAGTAYTTCCCCCAATAGRGACCAGGCTTTTGTCCCCATAATGAACARWGGGTCCTCACCAGGCAATGAAAATCGTCCYCACCAGGTAGCAAAAAMACGTAGATRAAGCTCGCTAAGCTAAAAGACGCCAATAAAAACACCARCCCTTTAAAGAAATCCTCCTGCTTTCAAAGTCTGTTGAAGACCTCGACCCTCCAGACAACCTGTCAGCTGAACTCTCATGTGATTCCTGATTCAGAGATGTGTCGAAATTTGCTCTAGGAACGTCTTTTTCTGTTATGTTTTTACTACTAAATCTCCGTATRATCTAAACGACTTGTTCAATCATTTGAGAGAGTAGTAGATAATGTATGCAAATGATATTTGTGACATCGCGAGTGGAGATTGCCACAAACTGAAACAGCATCTAAAAATGTGTGTGTTTTCACAATTTCCCTGATATGAGTCACCAACTGGGTTCCAACAGCCGCAGCTCAGTGAGATACTACCTTAAGTGATGCATTTAAGATTTTTCAGCCACATGCTCATTGGCCTGTTTAAAAAAAGATGTGCTAGGAAACGGGAAAGTGACAAGAAGGTCCAGCTGATATGAATCAAAAATAAAGTTACACAAACAAAAGAWACTCCTTGGATGATCTAAAACAGTTAAATAAACAAAAACAAAATCATATCCTAAAGTTATTCTAAAATAATCACATCATGTTATCCACATTCCTCGTGGTTTGGAGCGGAACCAACCGGAATCCACCCAGATCATAAGGATGTGCAGCAACAGATTAGTCAATAATTTGAAGGGATTACATAATTTCCATCCTGTCACAGAAGGCCTGATCAGAGCTGAATGACTCTGCAAGATGTTTTCCTGCTCAGCCAAAATATTTGATTTCAGTCTTGTAAAACCAATTACACACGCTCATTTCCGGTATTGTGAAATAAAATCCTTCGTGATCCTTTACATGTAGCCATTTTTATCCTCCCAGAGGCTGAATTACATGTTCGCTTTCTCAATGTGAAAACAGACTGGCTTTACAGGTGAAGAAAAACTAAATATGCACCTCCAGCCCCACCCTGAGAGCCGGCTCAAAATATTGTGCCAGAACCGWGAAATTTTGAAATTTCCCAACGCTGAGGTAAGGCGTCGATCAAAACTTCTTGCAACTTTTCCGCATGGCAGTTTAAAGCCACGCTTATTTTTAGAAACTAGGACAATCGTGAAAAGCATGGTGTGAAGATCACTTCTGCTCCACTCTGCTAAGACTTTTTTTTTTCTCACCTCCCAAGTCAGAAATAACTTGGGTTTTTCTTAAAATAGCTTGTGGAAAATACAGAAGCAGAAGATAACAGCTCTGCCTCTCTCTGTCATACAATCAACGGTTTTGTTTTCTCATTCTTTGACACGGTTCAGATTTTGATGAGACAGTGCGGCTTGACGAGGCGACACGACTGAAAGATGTGGACGTGTTCAGAACCGGACAAGCAGAGGTCACAGGTTGGGAACTCAGATTTAGTTCTCTTGGACTTGGACAGTAGACAACATGACCTCGGTGAAGCTGATGGGAACACGAACGCAGGGCGAGGAATGGTGTGTGTGTGTGTGTGTGTTTTTGTGTGTGTGTGAGCTGCAGCTCGCTGAATCAAACCAGATGTTGGAGGAGCTGAGCTCCAGGCAGCAGATATGACAACCCAGGCTCTGGGATGGCCTCCTGAGAATGATGATCTGATCTGCTCTCACTTTGGAGCACTTTTCTTGGAGCAATGCTCCTTTGCTGCTTAAATAACACAAGGGGTGCCTTTTTTAAAAATATAATTTCACACATTTTGAATGTCTAATAAGACTTTTAAAAGAACTCATGTTTAGGATTTACAATGCACGTAAAAGCAGGGTAATATTTTGCCTGCGTCTGTTCATTTGTCTGCCTGTTAGCAAAATATATCATTCACCACTGGATAAACTTGAATAAAATTCACAGAAAATATTAATTAGAGGTACATCTATGATTAACTTTTAAAGTTAACCCATTTCAAGATGGCTGCCACAGCTAAGCAAACTTAGCGAACACAATAATGGCTATAACTCAGCCAATTTTACAGATAATACACTAAAAATTTGCGTGGTGGTAGCTGAGAGTCACCCCCGACACACAATCAGAGCGTTACATTGGATTACATTTCGGCTCAAAATTTTGGCATTAACTATTGGCGTCAAAAAGAAAAAAATTGTATAGGTCCTCTGGACGGGTTCTTCTCTAATGAAACGTTTCGTCTCTCTTCCAAGAGACTTCTTCAGTCTGAGAGTTTCAGGCAAAATTCAGGCTTTTAAGCMCTGCCTCCATGTGACTGATACTCACATCACATGGCTATCGTTGGCACCTAATTAACACCTATTGTTAACAGGGGGTGGAGTGATACTGCCAATGGCTGCGCTGTAGGAGGGGGACAGCTGAAAACGGAGGCCTCCACCTCTGTTTAATGATGGACGGTCTTTCTTCACAAAAATGGCTTCTTTTACTCCTCTCTCAAACCAACGTTCCTCTCTATCAAGAATGAGAACATCCTCATCTCTGAAAGAGTGACCGCTGGCCTGTAAATGAGTGAAAACTGCAGAGTTCTGGCCATTAGAATTAGCTCGTCTGTGTTGGGACATTCTTTTGAACAGTGGCTGCTTTGTTTCCCTGATGTATAACTGGTCGCAGTCCTCCTGGCACTTAACAGCATATACAACATTGCTCTGTTTGTGCCGGGGCACCGGATCTTTGGGGTGAACCAGCCTTTGCCGTAATGTGTTTTGGGGTTTGAAAGCCACTGGGACATCATGTTTAGAAAATAAACGTCTCAGTTTCTCCAAAACACCCGCAACATACGGAATAACCACTGGTTTGGATTATTGGCGTCAAACTTAGCTCGCCTGTTTTAGCAAAATATCTCACGATCCATTGGAACGTTTTTTATTGAAACTCGTAGAAAACAATCACAGGATGCACAACTAAAACTGATTAACTATTAGAGTTAACACAATTCAAGATGGCCGCCACAACTCATCAACTTACCCAACGCAAAAACAGCTGTAACTCAGTCAGTTTTACAGATGTTGAGCTCAGGTTTGGTGTGGTAGTAGCTKAGAGTCATTCTCACGATCTGAACAGATTTAGCATGGAATCACACATGAGGTTTGAACTTCCATCTCTTCGTCTTAGTTCGAAACTCTTGTCAGGAAAGGCAGTGGGTGATATGCACTCCTCCCAGGAATGCTGAGTTATAACTTAATTAGGAAATCTGCACATTTGGGTGGGATTTGCTCGGTCACACCCGGAAAAGTAAGGAGAGCATAAATCAGGGGAGACTATGGGAGAGGTTTGTAACAGAGGGGAGGTTTTAAAGAAGAGGCACAAAGCAGCTGCTGTGATTTGACAAAGGATACATGTTAATGTTAGGGCGACCTAATTCATGATGAAGACCCTCCACCCACAACCAGCTCCCCTCCCTCTCTGGACATGTTATAACAAGAATACAGTATACTTTCCAGTCAGTCCAGAGACCCCCTCTTTGTTTCAGAGTCAGCACAACAAACCCACTTCTGAACCCCCCACCCCCCTCTTTTTTTTTTTTTTTTTTTACGTTTGTCGCACTCCAACAGCCCCCACCCCTCCACTTTCTGAGAGCCCTCTTCGCCAAAAAATTTCCCTCCCTGCCTCCGAGCTACTTCCTAAATGTTTAATGGTTCCGACTATTAAAGTTCGGCCCGCTTCTTCTGCACGCCTCGGTTCATCTCGGCAGTAATAAAGAGGCTGTGTGAGGCTAAAAGAGGAGGGGGGAACAGGAGCTTCAATGTTAGAGGAAACATGCTTGTACACACAGCGGCATTGTAACAAGTGTGGTTCGGCTTTGCGCAACACACACACACACACACACACACACACACACACGAAAAAAAAAAAAAGCCAAGAAAACTCACCACAACTCCTGTAGCGCCCAGAGGAAACCCGTGAAGGTAGAGATTATTTATCCGCTTCTTTTTAAACTCCCCCCCTCTTCCACGTTTTTCATCCCCGGCCCCTCTGTCTCCACACCCCAGGAACTAAGCGCGGGGTGGTGGTGGGGATCTGCTGGGTGATAGCGGAGGAAGAGGGAAGCACAACCTGGGACACACTGCTGCCAACACTTCGCGATCAGTTTTCTTCTTCTACCAAACCCAGAAAAAAAAAGAAGGCGCCCGCTCCAGGAAAGCTGTACTTCTCCCGTGTGTTTGGTCTGGACAGAGGTGGGGGTTCCGGCTCGGATGATAAACCCCACAGTTTATCGGCTGTTTCCGGGCGCGTCGGCTCGCTCTCCTAGTCCGCCATGTTGTGTGTCTGTCTGCATAGGAAGAATGGGAAGCAGCAGAAAATTCCCAGGCCAGGCCCCGGCTCTCCTCCACTGGGTTTCTGCGCGGCCGACAGCGACCCCTGCTGGCAGAGCTGAAAGTCTGCACTGCAGCCGAACACTCAGGGCCACGGGCCAAGAAAAAACATTTTTATTTTTAGTGTTTTGCAGATATGAATAAGCGTGGGGGAAAYAAATGAAGTATGTAAACAAACAAAAGAAACAAATTAAACCAYATAAAACAATTTGTGTTTGCAGATCTTTCCCCCAATTTTATTTAAAACATATAGTGCATCACATCAGTGTGTGCAGTCAATATTGCAATAAATAAACAAATAAACAAATAAATAAATAAATAAATAAATAAAAGCTGGGAATGCAATAATTCATAGATCGTTATAGTTCAAGTAGCATGCATTCTCGTTCTACATGTTAAAGTGCCTGCGATATAATTTTTTTGGTAATAAATATAAATGCATTTTTGGAAAGATAACATTGACAACATATTGTAAAATAGATTTCATGCCACTAAGATGAACAGTTGTTGAGATATTTGCATGTGAAGAAATAGTAAGTGATGTCAGAGGGGAATGTCTGAATTTGAACAGAGCGTTGCTAAAATTGTTAATATCACAGACTGTAGAGAAGAATCTGATGTTTCKTTACWATATTTTGATCACTATCAGAGAGAGATGAGAGAGTCRTATTTCAAATAATATTGTTTCAATAAACAAAAACAAGGGAGTTTTCTTTCTCAAAGAGTTCCCCTTTGATGCCACTTCCTGTTTCACTTTWGCTGAGCCAAGTTCAAAAGAAAATATGCCAATTATGGGACACAATGGGTAAAATCATGTGTATTATGCCAAGTTTCTTAAATATAAATATATTTTCTTTGACTTCTGGTATTTTGTGGATATGCATGTCACAGGCACTTTATATATTTGGTCAATCCAATAAACGCACTGGTYCACACCTGGTTTAGATATTATTGGTAACAGAAGAGCAAGTGAAAAAGATAAATTATGAAAAGGCAGTTTTGGAAAGTAGTCTWMATACTTGTTCAATAATTGTCAAAACTCAAAATAACTCATTTAATATTTGCGTCACATTTTGTTACTTTAACCTGGACAAGGTTATAATAAGACAGTAAAYTGTCAACTAAAATAAGCGTGGACATTTATAAAACTGTATATTACTTTAAAATCTAATTTACTGAGTTTTTGAACACATTTTMTTTAGATGAATAAGAAGCTACAGTTTTTGCCTTTTTGGATAACTAAAAACATTAAATATTGCTGGAACAGTGGTACTTAGGGAGTGTTTTAAAGCTGAAATGTTTGAATTATGAAGTCTAATTTTAAATATTTTAACAAGTGATAAAATCAACAGTTTTTAAAAGTTAATACTTTGCTCACTCACTTTGAAGTTTTATAAACAGATTCATCATTACCTGCAACCCGTTACTTTAAACCAGAGTAAGACTATCTGAATAATTTATGCACTTTTCATTCCCAGGTCACTTTTTTTTAAATCCGTGTTTTTGCTGATCTTGCACACAAACTGGTCATACACTTTGTAGCTTCTCCTCCCTCACTTGCACAAACTGGTAGGAGTTTGTGGTTCAGGAGAGGCCCRCGCTGACTGAGCCCACCCAGCAGCCATGCTAAACGTTTAATAACTCTAAATACTGCATTAGCCTTCCATTAGGAGTGATGCGAATATTTCACACACTGGCACTTACATGTCATTTATTATTCACGACTCATCATAAATGAAGAAGTAATACGCCACAACTCCAAGTTAATAAATAAGAAGTACATTCATGTTTTGACTGATGGTTAATCTGCTGAAATAAAACCATTACTTTGAATTTATAGGATAAAAGYAGAACGTGAATCACTTATGAGCATAAGAGCTGCTGCTCTGTGCAGATTAARACTTTATAAAGCAGGGAGTTCGCAATAATGCATTTCCTTTGTATTTTACTGGTTAAAAGGATAAATAAAGTGTTGAAGGTCTTGTTTAAATACCGTGCTGCAAGACTGAAGGGTTTGTAAATAAAAAAAAAGGCCCGTGTGTGTTTCAGCAGCTGACAGATTTGYATTTGGAAAGCTTAGACTGGCAGGTTAGCAACGACAGCCCGGGTGAATTCATCGCTTGTCGCGTAGCCCCCCAGGTCTCCGGTGCGCACCTGTTGCAAACATAAGGACAGCGGGTTACTATATGCACAGCTGCTGCAACACATGTCCACATACAGCATCACAGCCTGCATGTTAGAGAGCCTTTGAGAAATGTGTTTACACTGAGGGAGCAGGGAGATGAGTCCAGTAAATACTATAAAATAATATTTAACTGTGATGTGGGAACAGATTGTTGTTCAGCTCATCTTCTCCCGGGGATTTAAAGAGGTGAGATGTACAAAAAAACCAACAAACAAAAAACCAATGCTGCTCATGTTAGCAGTRAGCTGGCTTTTAAAAAAGATCAGCAATTCCTATTGTGATAAAAGGTTTTAGAACAAAAACAAATCTAGTATTAGTTCTGTTTTTAAATTACTTAAAAGTTATCATGTGTCAGGTTCATTCATTAAAAAGAAGGATAAAGAAGTGTGGAGAGCAGCATATAGTTCTGTTCATGTGATCATGGAGGCTGAACTGGCTGTATGGTTTTATTCATGTTACACTTTGGGTCAGATGTACGGAAGCTTTTCATTCAACACAACCACTTCATTCTTTACCTGTGGCTCCCAACCCGGGGGCTCCGCCCTCCCTGAGGCGGAGTCAGAGAGCACAAGGGCGGCTCATAACATTACCAAAACAAGTCTCTTTTAATTATTAAAACTCTTTATAACTATCTCTCTCTTTTCCAAATAAAACTTTATTCTTTYGTTGATTTGATAAAGTGATAAAAGGTTGAACGTGTCGTTGGGAAAGGTGGGGAATGCAAAGGGATTGGGTTGCAAGAGAGGGTTCTTATTATTATTTTTTTGAAGAAAACGGGTTGGGAACCACTCTAGTCATTTTATTCTTTGATGTAAGCACTGGTGGTGTGAACAACCAGTWCTGTGGAGATTCTCTCTTCAAAACAACACACAATGCTGCTGCTTTTCTTGCTTTTCGTTAATATTTGAAATGAAAACTTTTATCTCAATGCATACAAAGTGGCTGTAGTTCATGGTTTAACTACAGAGACACAAAATCAACTTTCTAACAATAACTCACAGGTGTTATTTCAATATGGCGCTGCAATTTTCCCGAACATACAAACAATGCGAGTCAAAAAGTTTGAGGCAGAAGAAGCAGATTTACTGTAAAATAAAAAGATTTTACATTCAGTCTTTGTAAGACTTACGTCCATTAGTAAACATGAAGGATAAGGCAGTTTGGTTGCTTTACAGTTAGTTTAAAATCACGTGAAAAAGAAAAAGAGCACTTTTTTCCCCTCTCATCTCCTGAAGGTGTCGTATTGTGCAACACTAATGATTACCGTAGTCAGTGTGTTACCTGCAGTGGACAACAATCAGAACAATCACAGTTTGGGGAATCAAAATAAGGATTCCTGATCTACAAAATGAGCTAWCAGCTCACTGAAGCTACCAAATTAGCATTTGTGATTTACAATTTCAAGCCTAAAAAATAAAAACTAAATAAAAAACAGCAGTCGTAAGTGGTGTCTATAGTGTGTTTGCATAAACTGCATCACCTTCACATCAGACATTTGTTTACTTTGACACACACAAACTTTTGTATTTTTGAAAAAGTAACAATAAATAATAAGTTATTCAACAAATTAAATATAAAGGACAAAGACAGATGGCATCAGCTAGTTAAAATCATTGAGCAAGTAAACAACAAAACAAAGTGTCTGATGCAAAAAAGTTGTAGAACTCTGACCTACAGTTTTCACTTCAGATGCATTAAACAGTTKTAGTTTTGTGTCATTTTAGACTACTGAYGATCTCATCTATTAGGACCTCCCCATCTCCAAATTAGTATCATTCTGACTCCTGATGACTGCAGGTAAGACAYTGACTGCTCATGTGTTCCTCATAAATCTCAACTAAAAAAAAAAAAAACTCAATTCATGTAAAAGGTCTYGCAAAATTAGTAAAATGACAATTTTATTTGGTTAAAAGCAACCTGAGACAGGACATAAAAGGGACGCAGGTGCAGGAAGGAAACAGGAGTCAGCTGCACGATGGAAATCCTCCACAGTTGCACTTTTTTTTATTAGCAAAGAGCAACACATCGCTGCGACTTCCACTGGATTTATCAGCAAGCTCAACACAAACCATAAACAATTTCTCTGTCAAAGCAGCGGGACACAGCTGTCATTTAACACGAAGGAAAAGCCTTTAATCTTAACGCACTCGGCTCACGTTAAGATCAGAGTCCAGATTTAAGGCAAGGTCAGGGAGGGGATGGGATGAAACTAATGAACAGGTTTGTGACGCAGGTTTTCCACAACTGCATGCACAAAGTCGCCAGTGGTACAGTACCCGCCAAGGTCTCGAGTCCGCACCTGGGATGTGCACAAACACACACGTATACACACAAGCATTAACACAAACATGGGATAAACAAAAACAAGGAAAAGGGGAGAGCTTTTACATGATGTGCAGGCAAATTCTGCTGATATCTGATAAGTTAATGATAATCAGAAACTTGCAGGTGAAAAAAAAAGTTTGTGTTAGTGCACGTTTTGACAGCAGGAAGTGAATAAAGTATTAGATGAGTTTTGTTAAAAAAAAGGCCTGGAGATAAGAAGACAAGAATGTTTTCTTATACGTGGGCAGGATGAGAAAAAGCAGGACTAAAAATGCAGCAGAACAACAGAGGCGTGTTCACACAGGCTGCTTCAAGTCGAGCAAATCAAAGGCTCTTTAACACACTTCACAGGAGTCGGCTGTTTGTTTAATAAAACATTTGYAGTCCAGGAACTGCTAATGTTACAGCTGAACCTGTTAACTGATCAAAGTGAGAACATTAAAGTTAGCCATTCAGCTCAATGTTAATTTAATTACAGTGCTTGACTTTTGTTTTCTGAAGTGCATTTTCTGCTCGCATGACATTTTTAGTTACTGACCCACAACAAAACCAAACATACACATTTTTTAAGAAACAGTTTTTTACCCCGTATAGTGTTAATATTTTTAGTGTCTTTAGCAGGTTATTGTGTCAGTAGAGGTCTAAAGATTCAATTCTTTCATGCATCAGAAAGCACAAGAGAAAAAAGCTAACACAAACTTACCTTCCCCTGTTTGATGACCCTCTTGACAGCATCAGTTATCATTTGGGAATGATATTCCAAACTGAAACAAATTAAAAGGGGATTGTAATTATTTTTGTATAAGCCAGAACTTGTGGCGAAAGTGTTTATTAAAGTGAACTCACTTCAGGTGCCGAAGCATGTTCGCAGCACTGAGCAACATGGCGGTCGGGTTAGCGATATTCCTTCCTACAGCTTGGGCAAAAGGGTGGCGTGCACCCTGAAAAAAGAAAATAAAAACAAAAGAACACAGGCCGATCGTAAATGGTCACTTAAAAGCAAATTTATTTATTTCACCTTTAATCTCAGTTAAACAGGAATAAAAACAGAATGGCAGGCTGTAGGCTGTTTAAATGCTCACAGAGACGATAAACAAACACAGAACCTAAAAAAATTAACTCACAGTCTCAAAAACAGCGTATTCTGCGCTGTAGCTTTCCCCGGGAACCACTCCTGCTCCTCCGACCAGCCCCGCTGCCAAATTGTCAATAATGTTTCCGTACAAGTTGGGCATCACCAGTACGTCAAACTGGTATGGGTTCTGAACCAGCTGCAGTAAACAAATCAGGAGGAAATGTGAAAAAAACATTTACAACAGCTCATTTCCAAATTAGAAACAAAAGATTAATTATTTATGAATCTAACCAATAGGAAAGAGTGAATGGGGAGGTCATAATACCTGCATACAACAGTTGTCGATGATTATGTTCTCATATTTGATTTTGGGGTACAGCTGTGCCACCTCTGCACAACTCTGCAGAAACAGGCCATCACCTAATTTCCTGAAATACCACAGAGAACAGAAACCTGTGTTCTAACATATTCCTGTGTTTTATCAAAGAGTGCCAACAACAACGAGGGAGCGCCCCTGAAAACCTCCTCACATGATATTGGCTTTGTGAACAGCGGTGACCTTGTTTCGGCCCTTCTTGGTGGCGTAATCAAAGGCGAACTTGGCGATACGCCGTGACTTTTCTCTGGTGATGATCTTCAAACACTCGATCACACCTGAAACACTCTGAACAGAGAAGAAGGTGAATATTATTTCACAGAGATGGTTTGATTTGAGAACGTGGAAATGTGTATTGTCTTATACTTGACAGGATTTTAAGAGTTCTTTGGTGACATACAGTGATTCCTTTCAGCGCTGCTTTTAACTGGTACATATTATATATTGTACAGATTCATTCTGTTCCTCACCTCGTGCTCCAGGGAGCTGTACTCGCCCTCAGTCTGCTCGCGGATGATGACGAGGTCCAGGTTGTTGTGGCGAGTGTTGTAGCCAGGCAGGCTGTTCACATGAACCACGTTAGCAAACAGGTCCAGTTTACGCCTGTGGAAATCAAGATGTAGTTATTTTACAACACTGACACATTTCATCTATTATTTTATTATTTTTAAGCACCTTAGTTTCATTTCATAGGATGCCAACTCCCCTTTGTACTCCATAGGCGTGTGAATCTTTCCTAAATAAAAAATAATAATAAATAAATAAAATAACAACAAATACAAGCTTCACATTTTTTGTAATTTAATGAATGAACTACTCCTTCAAACTTTTATCCATATTATTTTTAAACAAGTGTGATGTAAAGAAGAAAAAGTGAGTCTAACCTTTGATAGCTACTTTATTGTTCCTCATTGAGGTCAAAACTTGCTCTAGTTTATCCTCACTGGCCATGTTTTGTACTTCACTCAAATGAAACTCCTCAAATTCAACAGGGATGTCCCCAGCCTAAACATAAAGAGGAAGAGAAATTAAGAATGACAAAATGTAAGCTTGTAACAAAATCAACTTAAATACATTTGCTTTTCTTGACCCTGAAACCAGTGCGTGTTTTATAAACATACAAAAGACAAAAGGCAGTAAATACTCCATCTTTGTCCTTTTCAGCAGTACCTTAAAGACATCTTTGACAGCCGTCATCAGCTCAGGTCCTACTCCATCTCCTGGAACCATTGTGACCTTGAAGGTCCCATCAGCTCGGGCAGGTGGGGTCTCTGGACTAAAGAGCCCCGCAGACACACTCAGAGGTCGAGAGGCCAGCTGCTGCCAGCATGGGACTCCCAGATCCTGAAGGGCAACAATAAACAGACAGATGTATATATTGAGTGTTTTTTTCCCTTTACTATAGCTGTGGTTATTTAATCCCCATACACACTGAGAACATTCCAACTGTTGTTTGCTTAGGACCACTGTGAACAAAGAAAGGACTTACTTCAGGGCCCTGATCAGACAGGAGAAATTCCAAAGACCTGACCACTTGGCCAATAATTAGTGGGCTAAAACTATTTAAATTGTCATCAGTTAATATTTAGTTTTATTTATATGATTTTATTTTTCAACCTGTGCAAAGCGAAACTTGTAGTTGATCGACCTACAGAGGGAAAACATGATTAGTTTTATTTTACAGTGTTAATTCTTAGAAACAACAGAGAAACTGACATTTTACAGACAAATCTATTCTCTGTAAATCAACTCATTTTGAACTCGGATCATGAGTCTGTCATGAAAGTTTTTTCTTGTAATTTCGTATTTTTCTGCACAGTATCTTGCTTTTATTTGTAATTTTTATCTAATTTTATCTTGATAGTTCGGTACAGTAATTATTATTCTTATCTTTATTTTGATGTATATTCATTTTTATTGTTAATATCTTTAATTATTATTGCTACAGCTGATAATGTCACATAGCAATATACTGTCTGTGTGGATTGATGTATGTATCTGCTGCTGCTGTTACACCTGAATTTTCCCGGGCGGGACAATAAAGGTTATTTTATTTCTTTTCTTTTACCTTCTCTATTCTATTCTAAATTCTTAAATTTTTATCAAGTTTTATTCTTGCTCTTTTTTTGCAATCCTTCTCAGATGATCTTGCAGGAATAAATTAGGGCTTTTGTAGTGATTCACTAAAATTAATCAAGACACATGATGGTATCTGTGTCCACCTGTCCAAAAATACAATACATGCAGTCAAAAATGATTAAACAAACATCACAAGTTGTCTATAGGTAAACACTACACAGCTAGCTCCAATCACACCCTGCAGGAGAGACAGGTGTTTCTCTAACGTTCAAACCTTACAAAGCTTTGGAAAAAGCTTGAACTTTAACAGAAATACTACTAAGAATTAAATTTCATTCAAACCAAGGTATAAAAGTCTGGAGGGAGAAAGTGCATTTGTTTATCCAAAATTATATGTGACTAATTGTTTGTTGTTCATTTGCTGACAACCAAATTCACGACAAGTCTGTTTTGTGTTAGCTTTTCCAAGAACTGTGGTGTTTCTCGAAAAACGTCTTCGCGATGTTACACTCAAAGAAAGCTATAGGACTGTTACTGCCGAAACTAAAACAGCGCCTGAGTATAACAATGTTAAGCAAAACCCCATAAGCACATTTTCTACTAATATGTACTCAATTATTCCTTAAACATCAATTGTAAGCTCACCTTGACCAATGTTACTACGCTTCTCCTCAAGGCGGCCGCCATGGTACCAGCAGAGCAGACAAGCAAGGATGTAACTCTTCTTCTATGACGAGGCACTGAAGCAATGAAACCACAGGGTGTCTGCGCCCCCTGCTGGACTGATAGTGTATTAATTGTATTGTATTGTATTAATTAACAAACCACACCCATATATTTCTAATGAAGTTTCATTTAAATTATTAGTAATAGCCTTCATTCAAGTTTAAATCTCATTATTTTTTGCTCACTTGTTCTGCCTTTGTTTGGTTCATGGGACCCATGTGAAAGCAGGACAGGTCCCCTTAAATGCAGCAAGTTTTACAGCTTTGTATTGTTGCACTGTCTGGAAGGGCTGCAGATGCACATATTTACAACCACGGACCATATATAGGGTCCTATTATTATATTGTATTATATTATATTATATTATATTATATTATATTATTATGCTTTGATTATATCTATGTTTACAACCACAACATGTGTCATTGGTGTCGCTGCTAATGAGTAATTTGTTCATAAATTCTATACTGTAGCACTTCCTTTAAAGTATTTGCCACTATAAAGTCCACAATCTGAATAAGCCCATCCTAAATAGGTCAGGGGATTTCCAGTCGTATTTCAGGAAAATGATGATTTCTACTGATACACAGGATGACATAATATTTAACAAATGATAATCTGAGTTTGCAGTTGAATTTGTGATATTGTAGTGGTCGGTATTTACATATTTGGACAATTAATTGGGTTGTTCAAGCTACCACTACTGGGGCCATTCTTTCATTGCCAAAATACATCTATTTCGTTAGCTTGTTCATAATTAGTCTGGATGAAAACATGAGTTTCTCAACATTTTTGAATTGATTTTAGATTTTTTTTAGAGTGTAAAACTTGATTTGTTTTGTAAAACGGACATAAAGCAAAAAAAGAGTCAAACAAAACACACAGTTTAAAATATGACACCAAACAAGTATGATTGGTGGCGCTCAGGGACTTTAAAAAAGAAACTCTCTAAAGCCTGAAAGGCCATATTTAGGGTGAAATTTATCCATAGACGAACCGCGCGCGCCTATTGGCTGACAGCTGCAGCGTGAGTTGAATTTACCATATATGGGCAAAGACAGGCCGAACGAGAACTGCGGCCGCTTCCGTGTTTGTGTGATCAGGGAGGGCAACACAGAGGAGCGGCTGTCTCCACTGTTTCATTCATACAGAAGAGTAGCGATAAGCAAAAAGCCAGCAGGGAAAATGCCGATTGAACTGAGTAAGTTTGGTTGTATTTATGTCAAACTACCGAGTTWAAAAAAGCTAAGAAAACCTTGCGTTCAGGCGAAACAGGTCAGCAAATCCGACTAGTCGTCCGGGTACAGCTGAGCTAGCTAGCCTCGCCCCTTGCCAAGACTAGCTTTGATTCCGCCTATGGAAAAACGCAATTTACATTGTAAACTAACCTACATGCTAAGATGTAAAGCTGTGTCGGGGGAGAAATGTAGTTTATGCACTGAAAGCAGCCTTTTATAAGCTGTTTGGTTGTATCGATAGCTCGCCCAGGGAAGTCAGGAAATAGTTCAGTCGCATTGTTGTGACATGTCCAGACAAACAGGCTGTCAGAGGAGCTGTCGTTCACTTCTTTTAAAGCCTTTGGTACAAGCTGTGAACTTTAAAGGCAACAGATGGGGAGGAGAGAGCTTTAGCTTTGTCCTTAACGTACAATGAAAAGAAAAGAAACAGCCTTTATTGTCCCGTGCGAGGAAATTCAGGTGTAGTAGCAGCAGCAGATACAGTACATCAGTCCCACAGAAACAGTRTATTGTTATGTGACATTATCAGTTGGAGCAATAAAGTCAGTAAGAATAAAGAAAAAAATAACTTAGATCAAAATAAAAATTAAGAATAATCATTACTGTAACGGGCTATCTAGATAAAATAGGATAAAATGAAAAATAAGGCAGTATACTGTGCAGAAAAATATAAATTACAGGAAAAACAGTCATGACAGACTCATGATCAATGGTGGAAAGAATATGAAATAACTAGACTAGGTATAAGAATTAAATGCCCCTTTGTCTTTATGGTTGTCATATTTACTTTATTATAATAGTACTATTTAGTGCTCAGTTTTCTTACTTGTATATTTGCATAATGTTTGAGAAATTGTACCGTACAAAAGGCCTCAGTGTTTATAGTGCACCTAAAAACCTACTTTTGGATGTTTGTCATTTGCAACCTCATTTAATTTAAAACCTTATTTCTGAAAGTGCCAAGTTCTTTTTTTTCTTTTCAGAGATAAAAGGTATGATTAAGGATTAATTAATTAATCTCTTTTGAATAATTTTGTTTAATTAACTAGGCATTTCCTTGGACTGACATGTCAGTGAGGTCTGAGAGTTCACGTGTCCACTGCTGCAGTGAGTCCTCAGGATGAAGAGCTGCACATGACCTCATCTTTCTTTTTATATTGTATTTGTAACTATATTTACAACTGCATACCTGTCAGAATACGGTGGAGTCGATCAGAGTCAAATCAKTTCATGTTACAAAGAATATGTGCTGTTAATTTCTGTCTGCAAGTGACTCCCTGTGGATTAGTTTAGCGTTAACTCTGATGTAGGTTTTACGCGTATGTTTATTATTTTGACATGTTTTTTTAATTTAATTTTTTGCTGTAGAACATGTATTCGCCAGTCTCCCTCAAATGGAGAGGGGAGTTGCAAAGGTGATTGGTGGAGATCCCAAAGGAAACAACTTTGTCTACACCAATGGGAAGTGTGTCATCATCAGGAACATTGACGTAATTTATTTTTATACTTTGTTAACTAATGTTGCGTTCCTTGTCTAAATTTCACACACACGCACACAAAGGTATAACTGAATTGGCTTTGTGTTAACTTGCTGAAATCCCGCCAGCTCAGTGACAATTTTCTCATATGTTTAGGCACATATTTTGCCCTCCAGATGTTGCACATAAAAAAACCCCAAAAAGTGCAGCTTAAAGTTTACCTGAAGGTGACACCAGTGTTCACTGAAAGGTCCAAACACTTGTTTTTCCTCTCCTGTTAAATCAGTGGATGTTATAAAACCTACAGAAACAATTTATTATTTATTTTGTTGGCAGGTTTAATTTGAATTTCCCTCAGCCTTGCATGGATTTATAAAATAAATGCTTCTGTTCTGTTTCTCAAATGCCAACCTGTTATGTTTTTATTGAAGAATCCGGCTGTTGCAGACATTTACACTGAGCATCCTCATCAAGTCACTGTCGCTAAGTACGCCCCCAGTGGATTCTACATTGCATCTGGAGGTAGAACACACATCTGAACACATGTACTCTTGGCACTGGAGTGTGTGTGTATTTCATCTAGATAATTGTTATCAAACCCTTTAGATGTGTCGGGAAAAATCCGAATCTGGGACACCACCCAGAAGGAGCACCTCCTCAAGTACGAGTACACCCCTATTTCAGGGAAGGTCAAGGACATTGCGTGGACGGAGGACAGCAAGAGGATTGCTGTTGTTGGTGATGGACGAGAGAAGTAAGAGTTAAATTTTGTGATTTTACAAACTCTGACTTCAGCTTTAACTAAACTGTATTTACCTTCAGTATTCTTTCATGTGAAACTGCACTCCTTCCATGTTTTATTTGCTTGAGATGTTTATTTATAATGCAGGCCTGTCATTGTCAGTTGTCTAAATATCACCGTGTAAAGCCTTTGTGCCTCATTACAGGTTTGGTTCAGTGTTCCTGTGGGACTCTGGCTCATCAGTAGGAGAGCTTTCTGGCCATTCAAAATTAATCAACAGTGTAGACATCAGACAGAAACGCCCTTACCGCCTTGCTCTTGCCAGTGATGACTCCAGTGGATCGTTCTTTGAGGGACCCCCATTCAAGTTCAAATTCACATTAGTGGTGAGTTTAACAGCTTAGTGAAAGGAGTAATTGTGTTTAAATATGAGTGGAGTTGCTTTTCTTTGCACTGGAGTAAATACCACAGACCTTCTAAAGGCTGAATGCCATTTTATGTTTAGTGGTAACAAAATATTTCACCTTCAGTAAATGCAAACATTGATCTTACTTTTACCATCTTTGAGCTGGTGGTCTTTAATACCTGTAAGTCGGCTCCTATCTGCTACACTCTGGTGGTTCTTAACGTTTCCTTGTTTTCATGTTTTGTAATCTACTTCCCCCATAACTTGTTGGAGACACACCGAGCCAGATTTCTAAAAGCAGGCCTTTCCATTGGAAATGTGGTTTTGTCTAATTTTAGGGTCTAAAGCATTTCAGTGGTTAAATAGAAAAGTTATCAGTACAAAATATACATTTATTTTATCAATGTTTTGAATTTTATTGTTCAGTCTGCAGTAGGAAATGGCTCTACGTCAGAGGCTTCTCAGAGCATGGATGCATACCAGGTTATGCTCGGTGCTCTTTGCATTGTTTATTAATTTCATTCGTTTCCCCTCTGTGTGCGTGTTATTGAACCTAACTTTAGTCAGCAGTTATACTCTAAAATGAAGAAAGACAGAGTTTCTGTTTGTCATCCGGATGAAATCAGTTTTCATTAATGTACTGCAGCCTTGCATTWATGAAACAAATGTTCTGTAAGATTTGAAAATGAGAACAAAAGTGTTTCTGACTTCTTACAGCAGATCATCCATCTAACTTCCTCTAGGACAAAAATAAATAAAATTAAACATGTGTGTGTGAGAATCCAGTGGGGAAAACACTCCCAACTACATTTTGCTGTTGGATATCCGGCTGTTTTGTATGATCAAAGTAAAAGTCTGATGTTGAGATGGATTGCATTGCAGATAAATGATAACTTCCTTTTTCTGGTTTCCTCTGGTGTTTTTAGGACCACAGCCAGTTTGTCAACTGCGTTCGTTTCTCTCCAGATGGAAGCCGATTTGTCACAGCTGGTGCTGATGGTCAGGTAACCACTGAAATACCAACTGTGGACATGTGATTCTCAGTAGTTTACACTGTTATGAAGCAAATTACCATGTAGTTTTAGAAAATAGCAAATGTTAGTATTTTGGGAAAACGTTTTAGCAACAGTCATCTTCAGTCTTAAACATAAATATTACACAACTTAAGTGTATTAGGTTATAAAATAGTCAAGCTTAAATCCAACTTAAATTCTGTTTTCCTCACATCAACTAAAATCTGAACATCACAAAATATTAGATAAAATTRTTTAATTGAAAATTTAAGAGTGGAATAAGGAGAAAAGTAACGTTGTTCTGTTTGTAATAGGGAAGGAAGTAGACACTGTACATGTGCAGTTTTACAGAAGTGAAGTGGCCTTGAAATTTGTTTGTGGCAACAGAAGTTTGTTTTAACAGTCTTTGAGTGTTTTAAGTTTAAACAAGAGGCACAAGGAGGATTAAGTAACAACCGTGACTTGAGAAACAGTTTGCCTCATCTCTGTAGATTAAAACACGGGAGTGTAATTTAATCTGAGTACATCACAAAAAAGTTCACTTTGTGTTTGGTAAAATCTAAAGTGTAAGATTAGGTTTGTACGGATTGTGAAAGATGTCAAAAACCCCATTTTTATCTTCTGGTGCTGCTTGCATTCTTCTTAAAAAATAAATAAAAAGGTTCTTTTTCACAAATCTTCTGCTTTGATACTTGTCCAAATAAGTAGCTTCAAATAAAATGAGAAGAATGCAGGAAGAAAACTTGTCAAAGTTCATATTGTTAACTTTGATATTCATGAACAGATTTAGCTCTGACTTTACTTTGTCAATGACTTGTATAAATTGAAAATCAATTTTTTTATAAAGCATGAACTATTTATGCATATAGTGTGATTGACAAATTAGAAGAAACTACAGCTGTTTAGATGTYCAACATGTGTGACCAAGAGTCACATTTATGTCTGAAAAGTCAGACTTTAGGCTTAACAAAGCTGGCTAATTCATTATGATTGCCTTGTAGTGCGTCTCTTAGTAAGTTTARTAAGTATTTGCTTATTTTGTTTTGAAATAAGTGTGGTAAACAGATTAATTAAAATATTCCCATTATAAAATTTCAGCTAGGTGGCGCCACTTTCTGCAACTTGTATGATTAGAAAAAGCTGATGTSTTTTAGACAGGTAGTGAAAAGAGTGACCTGAATATACAGTACACTTTGTCTGTACAGGTATTAAGAGTATTAGAGTAAGTTTGTTCAAAAATGTATTGTTGTTTTTAACAAGGATTGCTAAACCTAATTATCATAAATTATATTTAAAAATCAGTTTGAAATTCATATTTCTTACAACAAATGTTCCTCTTCAACATTTTTCTACAGATATTTGTGTATGATGGGACAAAGGGTGAACGTGTTGGGTCACTGGGTGGAGAAAAGGCCCACAGCGGAGGAATCTATGCTGTAAGTGTTTATGTAAACCAAGAAATGCTGTAGATGCTCAACCTTCGGCCGACTGTTTTGGTGAACAAATTGTACCTCAAATAGAATCGTGTCTCCTGACTTGCAGTAATTTGGTTAAATGTCTGGCTTTTCTTTGTCTGAGCTAGCTAGTCAAACTTGCCATGCAGGGTACTGTARTTTGTAGTAAAAMACAAACAAACTCAACATTTCCCTATTCAAATCTTATTTAGATACTTGGTGTTTTGTTCCAWCTTTCTGCTTGCAGGTCAGCTGGAGCCCTGACAGTTCCCAGCTGATTTCAGCCTCAGGGGATAAGACGGTGAAGCTGTGGGATGTTGGTGCAGGTACTGCCGTCACCACCTTCAACATGGGCTCTGAAGTGACYGACCAGCAGCTGGGCTGTTTGTGGCAGAAAGACCACCTCCTCAGCATCTCTTTGTCAGGATACATCAACTACCTGGACAAGAACAACCCTGACCGGCCCATTCGCATCATCAAGGTCAGACTCCAGAGTTTAAGGATGCCAAGTCTAGATAACAGAGGAGAAATAAAAAAATCCCACAGAATATTCAATATTTACACATGCAAGAAGATGTCACAAAAATGTAAGACCTGTGCCTTTTTAAGCGCTTTTGAATGGCTCTATGAAAAACGGATGTAGCGTGGTAAAGCAGTTTTGAACAGGGACTGGAATAATCCAGCACATTAATCTGTGTGGTACATGGTGGTTAAAATGATAGTATTAGATTTGTAATCTCTTTAACTGTAAGCACCTACCAAGCTGACTCAGTCTTTATAAAGTCTTTACTAAAGCAGTTCCATGAAATGGCTGCGCTGTCAGTTTTCAGAAAAAAAGCTCCCATCGCAGAACCAAAAGAGGTGTGAAGCAGAACTTGGCTGCGTTGGTGTGGAGCACAACACGTTTAATGTGTGCTGGATGTCTCCCCTTATTGTTTCAGTTTAGCAGTTCGCCTAATTTATTTATTTGTAACTAAATGGCTTTGCATCATCAATTATTCCCTTGGTAAAAAAACAGTTATTTTTTCTTARTCTCTAAATTCTGAGACTCAGCCTCTCCACCTTGATACTCTCAGAATCACACTGAGGCTGACAGGGGACGTCTAAAGGGCTCGACACACGGGGAGCGACAAACTACAGCGATTTAACGGCTGCCATTGCAGCCAGGGTGAAACCCGACACACGGGACGCGATCGCAGCGTTGCGAATCGCGCTCTCAGATCGCTTGTCTTCACAAAATTTGATTGGTTCTTGACTCTGAAGGCAGGTGTGCATTATGGACATGTAAATTAAACAAATCTTGCGATGCTAATGATAATGAAAAACAAACACACATCAAGATACAGTTTTATGAGGAAAAACTTACCATAAACTTCACCCTGGTGCCAATAAATTCCCACAAAGCTTTTTAGTAATCACTTGGTGAAAGTGTTAGCTAACGGCAGTGTGTAGCATACTCTCCTGTCATTGTT